ATCTGAGGCAGTTTCCAGCAACACGAGCAGTAGATGAATAGACAACACCTCACCAGGCAGGCAGAGGTTGGAACAAACTTGGTCCAATGGACCAACTTGACCCAGCAGACAGGGGATGGTCAGGACCTGGGCCAATGGGCCGACTTGATCCAGCAGGCAGGCAGGCAGGAGTTGGAACAAACTTGGCCCAATGGAACGACTTGACCCAGCAGGCAGGCAGGCAGGCAGGCAGGAATTGGTTGGAACTTGGCCCAAGGAGGCGACTGGAATCAGCAGCTGGAGTTCTGACTGAGGGGCAGGTTTACAGGCTGGCAGGCAAGTAGGCAGGTCGCTTCTGCATGCCTGCCTGCAACCTCTTAACCAAAGCCCTAGTCCGTGGAAGGAGGGAGGATCCTGGTGCCAAAGCAGCATCCAGGGACTGATCAAGGGCATGAATCAGGGGGATGACCTGCCCCAGGCTTGCCATATAACCACACAAGATGTCTATGGTTTCCAGGAAGAGCTTTAACACCTCCACCATCTGAGAGAGGGTCAGCCAATCTGTGGCACAGATGCCCACCTCTCTCTCCTTGGGTAGAATGGGCATGGAGGACATGATGTCCTCCAAAACGGCTTTCTGCTTCACCAGGTGGGACACCATGGAGTAGGTGTAGTTCCACCTGGTGGGCAAGTCTGTCAGGAGAACGTGGATCTCATGACCCAACTCCTCCTGCCTCTCACAGAGCCAAGCAGGCAGCTTTCAGGCTGTGGGAGAAGTGGCCCACCAGTTAACGGCATTGCTCCAGGAGTACCCGTGTCTCCTGGGTGCTTGCGTTCTACTTGGGCCGAGGGCATAGCGTACCACAGACCTGTTTTGGAAGGCCCTTTGGCCCAAGGTGTAAATTGTGCGCCATGCGTATGATGCCCTCAAAGCCCGCCACGTTCAATGCTGCCAACATGTTCCGCACAGCATCTGTGACTATGTGGCCATGGGTGATCTCCCCCACGGTGCCCACTCCTGCAGCGCAGACAGGACCTCATTGGCAAGGTCCCTCCCTGTTGCCTGAGCAGACCTGTAGCCTGGGGGCAGGACAAGGGCCTCCCCCGCGGCCCTGTTGTCAATCCCCTGCCACTACTCAAGTCCTCTGCCTGCCACCAGTGGGCTGTGAGTGAGAAGTAGCCATGTTGACCCCTGTCCCACAGGTCCGCCATGAAGTGTACCTTGCGCCCCGTAGCCGTGAAAAATGGTTACAGACCACCTCCCTCACAGAGTCATAGAGTGAGGGCAGCACTCTAGAACTGAGAGTTCTCCATGAGGGGAGGTTGTACCAGGAGGCAAAAAAAAAGGCAACAACCGGCGGAAGGCTTGGGCTTCCACAGTGGACAGTGGAAGTCTGAGCAGGGCAATCGTCTCAGCAACAAGACAAGTGGCCACCTGCTGGGCCTTGCCCTTTAACCACTGGCTGAGGGTCATGACGGACCCAACAGGTGCCACTTTATGGAGCGTGGCCTGTCTCATGCTCCCGGCCCCATAAACCCCTGTGGCTGCCCTTTTGGAAGGAGTCACTTCCTTCTGCTTCCCCACATCTCCCCCGGAGCTGCTCTCTTCCCTCCCCCAGACAGCACTGATGAAGTGCCTTCCCTGGACAGGAGCCTTGGATGGTGCCTCTCCAGATGTTGGTGAAGGGTGACTGAGGACAGATGCCTGGGGTCTGACCCCCTCCAGACCACCACAAGGCAGACATTGAAGTGTGCCAGCCATGAGTCATTGCTGAGCACTGTGAAATGAGCCCACATGGCCCATCTGCCATGTTTGCCCAAATGAGGACCCACTGCCTGCCCCTGACTGCTGGTCTGGGAAGAACTCTGTGTCCCAGGGGTGCTGCTGGTCTGGGAGGAGGGAACAGATAACTCTGGGGACGGGGAGGGGGGCTGTGAAGCCTGCCCTGCTGTTACCAGTTCCAAATTGGACTGGGGATCTTTGGAAACCAGTAACTCCTCAGAGTCTTCTAGGAAGAGAGTGGCAGTTCTCTTGGCACCTCTGGAAGCTGTGCTTCCATGCCTGCCTGCAAGGTCATCGGAGGAGGAACAGTGGTGGTGGTGGTGGTGAACATGGTGGATGTCTTGACAGTAGTGGTGGTGCCACTGCCTAGCCTACGTAGCTTCCCCTTTGATTGCCCATGAAGAAATCTCTTCATTTTCTACTGCCTGCCTTTCAAACCAACTAAACAAATACTAAATAAGCAATGGAGATTGGGAAAGGAAGCTAAGAGGATCAGAGAGAATGTGTAATTTTTTTTTTTGAATAATTGTGGTGGTGGATTAATCATTTTACTAAAATGTGACCTGCCTACCTAAAATAAGCCCCCTCCTCAGTATAATGTAATTATATTTAAAAACATCCCCCAAACCACTGTGGCTGAAAAGCCAAAAAAAATCCAACAAGAAAAGCCTTGTCAGCTAAGTCTCAGTCAGAGACAGATAAACACACACACAACCAAATAGGTTTTTGAGGAAAGGAAACATGGATTGATTCCAGTCACACACCAAATTCCCCCCCATCCAATGTGCCTGAGAGACACACAAACCTCTTAACATAAACTTTTGAAAAAGGAATAATATAGTCCTGCCAGCTAAACATGCACACACACAACCAATTTAGTTTTAGGGGAAAGGAAAAAGGAAGGATCCAGCCACAAACCAAATTCCACCTCACCCACTGTGCCTGAGAGACATAACCCTAAAATAAACTTTTGAAAACTGAATATAAAGGAAAAGGGATTCCACAGTCACACAGGATGACATACCAAATTCCCCCCCACCCACTGTGCCTGAAAACGAGACGAGAGTCAAACACACGAGCCTCCAGAAAAAAGTTTGAAAAACTAAGCCCTTCCAAAGTAGTCTAAGCTACCTGAAATCCCTTCCCAAATTCCCAGTAAAGTTGTTGATGATGATGAATGATATAAATGAAAAAGAAAAATATAAGCGTTTGCTTTGCTGCCACAAAAGTGAAACCACTAGAGCACCAGCATGCTAGCAACTGTTCTCACTCTGGAGAGAATGAACAGAAGTGGGAAAAGGCTGGAGCGGGAAGCGTATATGAAGCCTCTCAGCACCTTTCAGCAGCACTATTGGCTGCCGGACATGCCAATCCACAATCTCTGTCCTGATTCGCCAGAGCTTCTAATTGGCACCAGCAAGCTGAGAGAGGTCCACAAAAGGGTAACAAATATAGACAAATATTAACGGATCGATGAATTAAAATGGGGGAAATATTTGTCGAGCCATAGTCATCAAAACTTATATTTTAACGAATACAGATCGAAGAATATTTGACGAATCGGCTATATTTCTCGAAAAAAAGATCCATTTTTATCTATTTATTATTTATTTACAAGATTTTTTAGCCGCACCATTAACAGTGGTCTCTGAGCAGCGTACACCAGTATTAAAACTTTTTTAAAATTAAAACATTAAAAATAGGCAGGTTCCCCTTGACAGTTTTAGTCCAGTCATACCCGCCTCTAGGGGGCGGTGCTCATGCTGCTTTTCAAGCCGTAGAGCCAGCGTTTGTCCGAAGACAGTTTCCGTTGTCACATGGCCAGCGTGACTAGGGAACACCGTTTTACCTTCCCACTGAGGTGGTACCTATTTATCTACTTGCATTTGCATGCTTTCGAACTGCTAGGTTGGCAGGAGCTGGGACAAAGCGACGGGAGCTCACTCCGTCGCGTGGATTCGATCTTACGACTACTGGTTTTCTGACCCTGTAGCACAGGCTTCTGTGGCTTAGCCCACAGCGCCACCACATCCCTAATAGGCAATATTATAATAATATCCTATATTAAAAACAATCATTAAAACATTAATATTAATAAATCCTGCTTCTCATATGGCCAGCTAAAGAATACTATTTAATTAAAATGCTGGCTAAACAGAAAGGTCTTTGCCTGGCTCTGAAAAGCCAAAAGTGTCGGAGCCAGGTGGATCTCTATAGGGAGGGCATTTCAAAGTTGGGAGGCAACATCCGAGAAGGCTCTATTTCGACATGCCATCCCCTTCACCTCTTTCAGCGATGGCACCTTCAGAAGGGCAATCTTAGAGGACAGGCAGGCTCATATGGAAGAAAGTGGTCCTTTAGGTAACCAGGTCCTAAGCTGTTTAGGGCTTTATATGTCAAAAATTTGTTCCCCATCTCTAACAGTGTTCTTGGAAATGCTATCTGTTCCATGTATGGATGAGAAGGTAGTGTCAGGGTGAGTGGTTTTGATTCATTAGGCACTGAGGAATATTTTGGGACAAGCCAGGCCTGTACCAGAGGGACAATCACGGAACCAGACCGTTGGTGCGTAACATTAAAAAGATGGCAGAGCAGCTTTTAAACTGAATGCTGGGGGAAAGCTGACAGGAGCTGAGCGGCATCTGGTTTGGGACTCCTCATCTCTGTGGAATGAGGGTGGAGAGGGTAGAGAACCACAACGTGATAGCAGTGTAGGAATTAGGACTGAAAGCTTGATGGGATGTGATAGATGGTCCACTGTAAGGAGAAGCTGTGGAAAAGAAGAAACAAACAAATAGCCCTTTTGGGGGGGGGGGTACAAAGGTGCTTCTATGCAAATGCCCGAATAGCCCTTTTGGGGGGACCCCATACAAAGGTGCTTCTATGCAAATGCCCGAAGCATCTGAGCAAAGATGGGAGAGCTGAAACATTTGGTGGCTAGGGATAACATTAATATAGTGGCCATAATGGAAACCTGGTGGAATTCGGAGAACCAGTGGGAAGACAAGCTGAGGGGCAGGAGAGCCATGGTTACTGCCCTGAGCTCATTGGAGACACAATGCGGGGCATATATGCGGCGCATATATGTAAATAATACTAAAATACTGTGTAGGTGAGCTCCACTAAACCATGGCTGCCACCTTTCAGCGAGCCACACAGCCAGCTGAACCCTGTTTCTTTCTCTCCTCCTCCTCGCCTCAACAACCAGGGCCTCCGTTGCCGCCACCGCCTCCTGGCCAAAGGAGGAGGAGCTCCTCCTCCTCCGCCTCCTCCTCTCCCACAACCGCAGCCACAGACGCCGCCCCATCAGGTGCCTGCGCCAAAGTGAACGGAGGGGGTCGTTCCCGAGCAGCCGTTGGGCGCCGCGAGGCGGGGGCGGGGGCGAGTCACCCAAGCAGCCCAACGGCCGTCCTCTGGGCGCGCGAGTCCCCCTCCCTTTGTCGCCCGCCAACATTCTCCTCCCCCTCCTCGGCCGGCCCGTCGTTCTTGTGCCAGCGGCCGCCATTTGTCGGGAAGCGCTCAGCGAGGGGCGCTCGCTAGAGAAGTTGTCGTTTCTGTGCTGGGTACGTATTTAAGCATTTCTCCTGCGGTTCGAGTCCTACCCCCACCCTGACGGAGCCGCGCAGTCCATTAACAATGGAAGAAAGACCGGGCATGAGGAGGGACGTGCGAGGCTTGTTCCTGGGATGGAGGGCCTTTCCCTCCGTCTCTCCCTGCGCCGCGCCGCTCCTATTTTCGGCGCCATGGGAACGCCGGTTGTGCCCCCTCCTCCTCTCCGTCCACGGAGCGCATGTTTCCTTCGCCTTTGTTTTTCCGGCCAGTTGCCTCTGGGGAAATATTCTCATGCAAGGCTGCCGGGGGGCCCCGCGTTGCAAAGAATTCCGGGGGTTTTGTCCCGGTCTCTGTCAGGCAAACCAAGGCTGCAACGCGATATCAATTTCTCTTGACCGCCTTGGGCCTTACTTCTGAAGAGGCACAGAGGCTTGTACATTTCTAAAGCCCCCGATAGGATTTCTGGGTCGTACTCTCGAACCATACATACCTTACTGATAATCCGTTTTCAGTCACATTGGTAATTATTACCTAGAGCGCTTTGCGTGCCTTACTAGTAGGCCTGTCTTGGTAGGAGCTCCGTGATGGAGGACGTGGTTGTTCCCTTCAGGCGGAAAATGGGGGTGCACTCGTTTGCGAGTGAATCCAGCTAAAGTCATTGGGGCTAATTTAGTATTGAGCATGGATAATTGCAGGCTTCATTTGATTGAATCAAGCCTGAACTAGTTCTGGAGAAAAATGCTGAAATTGAGGCTGCCCTACATTGGGCACATCCTGAGAAGGCGGGGTTCTCTGGAAAAGACCGTAATGTTGGGAAAGATGAAAGGCAGCAGGAAAAGAGGAAGACCAAATATGAGATGTGCTGACTCCCTTAAGAAACCCCTACAATTGAGTCTACAGAGAGCTGAGCAGGGTGGCTTGAGGACAGGACATTTTGAAGATCACTTGTTCATAGAGTCACCACTGTAAATCAGAGGTGTCGGTCCAGCACATAACAACACATGGGTACTTTGAGGCAGTGGTCAAAGAAAGAGCCATGATGGTCTTTCCAAAAAATAATCTTGTGGCACCTTTAAGACTAGAAAAATGAATTACCGTATATTAGAAACTTGCAAATCCATTACCAGGTTGATTGTTTTATCTAGCTTTCAGGTGAGGGTGGCCATGTTAAAATGTGTGTTTATTTGTTTATTTTAAAAAGCTTATTCTTTAAGAAAATTTCTAGGATGATGCTGTAGAAAACCAGTAAAATGCAAGTAAAATATATGGTTTGTGTGTGTCTTTCTGTGTCTGTCTGTCTGTCTGTCTGTCTGTCTCTCTCTCTCTCTGTGTGTGTGTGTGTGTGTGTGTAAAATGTGGAATTAGTGAGCTTGGAAACATGAAAATCTGGGAAAGACCTTCGTATCTTAGTGAAATATGCTCCCAGTGTGTTTTGAACTTTTTCCAAAGTTTCCAAACATGTTTCAAAAACAACTTAAAAGTGGGTGATATCTTTTATAGCACCAGTAAAACTTAAACAAATTGCAAGCTTTTGTGCATAAAATCCCACTTCTTCAGGCTTAGTACAACTCAGTGGATAGTGCAGAAAAGTTATAGACAATAACCCAGAAAATGATGGTATATGTATGTGTGAATAATTCCTCTTGAGGCTGATGTCTTAAACAGCTTTGTGGTCTGGTTAGAATTTTATATTCCTGCTGTTAAGACCAAATGTTTGCCAATTACTCTGTGATTGCCCCCCAACACACACACTCACATTGACTGCTGGAAACATGGAGTTTCTTTTTGACTTATGGGGGTGGGGAGACACAATTCCACTTACAGGTTCATTTACAGTACTTTTGAGGGTGGGGAGACACAGTTCCACTTACAGGTTCATTTACAGTACTTTTACAGCATTGCACACCTTTATTGTAGATAACTGCCCAAGCTAGACTTGTTCAAAACTTGAGGCTAGTGGGCTAACCTAAGCTGATGGAAGGCATATCTTGGCCACAGATGTTCTTCGGGTTTCCTTGACAAAATTGGAAGCAGGAACAAACTGTGAATTTGGTCCTTTATTGAGAGGAGTGGGAAATGAACATATTCCATTATGGAGAGCACAAATAGTTCAACATCATTTCTATTAATAAGTGAACTATCTACTCAAATCTACAATAATTTTGTCATGTTTCAATTTCATTTTTTTAGCTTTCATTCACCCTTTTACAGATTCCAGATTTGCAAACTTCTGTCACACCTGAATCCAGTAAATAAAAGTGGGTGTAATTGGCTTTAACATTTAAGTATATTTTCTGACACAGGCCCTTATGGAGATGAGATGTTCTGAGATAGCATATTTTGACTCTTTTGAAAGAGAGGGAAACCTAAATATAAAGCTGAGAAAATTGTTGGCCTACAGTCAAGGATTGTAGTAGTTAGCCTTTTATGTTTTGCCTTTCTAGTGAGAAAAAGGGGCGTGGTGGCGCTGCAGGTTAAACAGCAGAAGCCTCTATGCTACAAGGTTGGAGGACCAGCAGTTGTAAGATTGAATCCACAAGACGGAGTGAGCTCCCATCGCTTGTCCCAGTTCCTGCCAACTTAGCAGCTCGAAAGCATGCAAATGCAAGTAGATAAATAGGTACCACCATGGTTGGGCTGGCCACATGACCATGGAAACTGTCTACGAACAAATGCTGGCTCTACAGCTTGGAAACGGGGATGAGCACCACCCCCTAGAGTCAGACACGACTGGACTAAATGTTGAGGGGAACCTTTACCTTTCTAGTAAGAAAGGCATTGATATCTGGTCTATATGCCACAATAGCATTTACTAGCCTGCTTTGTGGCTGGGTATGATGTGGGTTAGTACAACACATGTTATTAGTAAGAAATGCTTATACAGTTAAAGACAAATGTACACAAAAATTGTCCTAATGTTAACATTTTGCATTGTTGTTCTATAGTAAAGGAAAGTAATGTCATTATAGTTACTTCACTAGTTTATGGTTATGAAGCTTGAATACTTGACTAATGTGACCATAGTCATTAGGAAGGCTTAAGCTTTCCTAAAATTTGGTGTAATAGTTGCCTAACACAAGTTTGGAAACATTTCAGATTTCTAGTGTCTAAAATAGGTCTGGACTGAGAGTTACGTCTCAGAAAGAATATATCTGTGTTTGAGGAGCAAATGGCCTGGAAGGAGAAGGACAAAAATATGCAGCTTTGGCAGCTCCAGGAGAGTATGTCTTGTTTTGGAGGAATATTAGGCTTTCTAGAGGCTAATGCTTTGTTTTAGAGGAATATTAGGCTTAGATTCTTATTCAAAGCAAGGTGCATGTTCATGTACACCTGGTTTTAGCTTGAAACTGAGTGGGTGCCATTCTTTTCTGTGGCAGCATATTTTGGTACAAGCAATATTAATTGCACAATAACAGCTAGGATGGCTGCTTGTTGCTATCTTATACAGTGGTGCCCCTCATAGCGACGATAATCCGTTCCGGATAAATCGTCGCTATCTGGATTCGTCGCTATACGGGGCAAAAAACCCCATAGGAACACATTAAACCCTGTTTAATGCGTTCCTGTGGGGGAAAAACTCACTGCTAAGCGGAAATCCTCCATAGGGGCGGCCATTTTCAGTGCCTCTAATGCGAGGCAACACAGCGGGTGGCCATTTTGGAACCACCGATCAGCTGGCCGAAAATGGGGCCTTTGGGAGGACTGTGGGGGAGGGCTCCCCCGCGGTCCATCAGAAGCCACCGCCAGCATGTTCCCCCAGCTTCGAAGCCCCCGTCGCTCAGCTGGGGGAAAATGCCGGCGGTGGCTTCCGAAGGACCCTTCAGAAGGGTCCTTCTGAAGCCACCACCAGCATTTCCCTTCGGAAGGGGCATTT